CTCCACCACCACCACCACCCAATTTTATGGCTATTTTCTTCTGCTCATAATTTCCCTTAGATTCCTCCATTCTTTGATGCGATTTTTGTTTAATTCTATCACAGTGTATTTATTAATTATCAGAAGAATAATTTACATCGACAAAATTGTTTGATTTTTCATAATTTTTAAAATTTGTATTTTTGTTTCCCCTTTATTAAGGGAATTATGAAGCTCACAGTGAAGGTGTGTGCGATGAGTGAGGGAGTTGTGGTGTTTACTGGTTCTTTTTCGGAGTGTGAAGCGGATGTCTTTTTCGATAATTTCTATTTGTTTACTTTTTTATTACCTTTTTGTTTTATTTCATTTTAATTTTAATTGTGGGGTTGGAAATTAGTTGAGCTTTAGAGAAATTGTTTTGTGTACACGTGACACGCGAGGGGAACCAGGAAAAACAATGTTAAATAGTACATACATCGTGTATTACACGGGTGTTTATTAATTTTTTTTTATATTTAAAATTAATGAAAAAAAATAGCTATAAATTTAAATACTTTTTGTAAGAAAAAATATATTATTATGTATTTTAGACTTTTAGAATGACACTTATTACTTGTGCGACTTGGTTGTGCTATATTATAGTACTAGTACAACACCCGTATTACATGGACACTTGTTACAATTTCTTCTTGAAATTTAAAATTAATAAGAAAAAGTAGTTGGAAATTTAAATACTTTATACATATATATATGATATATTATTCTATTTTGGTATGCCACTTGTTACTTTAAATATTTTTTTAACTTATAACATATAACTACATTAAATATGTTTATATTAATTGAGAAATAATATTATTTTTAATTAATTTTAATAAATATTTTTTATTATTGTAAAAATAAATATAATTAATTTATTTTATATATAAATAAGGATGTCAAATCGAAGCTCATCAAAAGATGATTAATTTGATACAATATATAGGTAAAACCGATAAGAAATACAAAAGATATCAACTTTTAAAATACATTTACAATTCAACAGTTATAATAAGAAATGATATTAAAATACAATTAATACACCTAAAATGGTCATAAATAAATCAACATATTTTATGGTAATCCGAACCTAATGAAATTTTGAATTGGAATTAAATTAAAATCTATCCAAGTCAAATAACAAAGATGAAATTTTGACACTTAGGATTCCGAAACATTCGAGGCTTCCACTTAGGTTCAACACATTCGGAAATTATATATAGGGTGAATTTTTCCAACTTATAACACATAAATGCATTAAACATAAATATATGAATTCATAAATAATTTTATTTTTCTATTTAGTTAAAATAATTTTATTATTATTATAAATAGAAATATAATATATTTATTTTATATATACAATTTAGATATCAAATCAAAACTCATCAAAAGATGATTAATTTAATATATTATATATGTAAAATCGATAAGAAAAACAAAAGTTATCAACTTTTAAAAATACATTTACAATTCAATGGTTATAATAGGAAATGATATTAATATATTATTAATACATCTAAAATGATCATAAATAAATCAACATATTTATGGTAATCCCGAAGCATGCGAGCCTGCCACTTAGGCTCAACATATTCGGAAATTATATAGTGGTATTATTATTAAAAAAAAAAAACCCAAAGAATAGATAATTGAAATGAAACTCGATTTTATTAATAGCTAAAACAAGATTACACTATGCATTATTTACATGTTTTTTTGATTGTGGGATTAAATTTAAATTTTAATAGTTGTATATACTTTGAAGTTGAAATATTTAAAAATGTATGTAAAAGTATTGTTATCTCATAACTTAAGTATTTTTGTTACAAATGTATGATATATAGTCGACCCGCGAACCGATTATCTTCCTCATACAAAAAATTATATTAAGTATTATTATTCGAAATATTAATGCTCCAATTATGAAAAGGATTATTATAACTCATCTTACAATAATATAATAGGACATAAACTTAGCCATCTTACAATGAATATATAATATCATATACATGTAGCATGCTATGTTGTTTTATATCTTACGTCATTTTCAAAATCAATAATAATTGAGCTTTCATATCACTTGTAGTCTAACTTTATGTCAATTTTATTATATAATATATGTCAAAAACATCTTTCTAAAATCAAGAATAAGTCAAATTTCGTATAATTTGTTCAACTTGATTTGAACAAAACAAGCATGCTTGAAAATTAATACGAGTAACAGCGGTTCAGTAAAAGCATAAACCCTCAAATCAAGAATAAAGAGTCTCAAGCTCGATCGACTCGTTTTTTCAATTCGAGTCGATCGAGTCAAATATTTGTTATTCAATTTGGAAAAGATAGTTTATTTACAAGCCTTTTTTCTACTTTTTTTACTTAAGTATTTAACTGATGAAATTGCATGGCCTTCAAGTTTTGACCTAACATTTAAAATGAATGGTACTCCTCTTTTGGCAATTCTGATATATTATGGGGTCTAATTGCCTTAGTATGCTGACAAAAACTAAATATGTTCTGATAAAACAAAACTATGAGATGATACGATGTGGGACAGATATCATATCTGACTATAAAAGTATTCCATTTTATGATCAATTCATATGCATATTTAGTTTTTTTTTTTTTTTTTTT